GAGGAAGGAACAGAGGCTTTAGATGGATCTGCTTTTCTGCTCTAAAATAAAAGCACAGATTGTGTGTGTGTGTGTGTGTGTGTGTGTGTGTGTGTGTGGAATACTGTCCATCTGTTTACAAGTGCAAGGCATAAATGCGCATGTTCACTTTTCCTAACACTAAAATTAGTGCAAAAAATGTGAAATTATATTAGATAATTATGTAAATCAAAATGTGTCACATAAAATCTTTTAATTAAGCCAGCAACTGTTTCTGAGCTCTTTGAATGTGTATGTATGACCGAATGAAAGAAAGTGTGAGATGAAAGAAATGCAATGTGCCACTGAATGTAGCAGTGAGATATTATTGATCAGACTACCATATTGTTGATGAAAGAGAATCTAATCTGACTTGCTCATCTGTTAACGTGGCGTCATTGTTTAACAGCAGCTATCACAAACTCATATATAAAACTGCTTATTCTGTGCTTCTTCATTCCTACATATATTCTCACAGCCTGCTCTTTTCCTCCATTATATTAATCATACTTTCCACTCTGCTATATGTCTCTGTCTGGATAATGTGTGTTATAGCCTAAGAGAATTTATTATTTCCTGTGCACATAAGCATGGAATATTTCTGCAGTTGTCAAGACGTGACAGTTTAATCGTCAATAACAATCACAAATGCATTAATCATGTATGCGTTTCATTCCAGGCTTATGTGGAGTCATTTGAAGATCTCTGCACTAAAGCTGTCACCTCTCTCTGGTAGACAGGCAATTGCTATTGACAAACTGTGTTTTAAGGATTCTTGTGTTGTCATCTGAATAATTAATATGAGTTGAAGCAATAAGCAAAATGACAGGCAACCGTTTTGTCAGTTTTCACAGCACTGTGGAATATTCACAAGCCACTACACTCTGGGAAAAAAAAGGTTCTTTATTGGCATCTATAGTTTCATGAGGAAGCTTTGACATCCATGGAAACTTTTTTTCCACTGCACAAAAGGGTTTTGATCTTTACATAATTAAAATGTTCTTTACACTAAGAAAAGGGTTATTTTAAGAGCTGTTCACTGAAAGGTTCTTTGGGAAACCAAAAATTGTGCTTTAATGGCATTTCTGCAAAAACCTCATTTTGGAACCTCTATTTTCAAGGGTATATGCTGCTTCCATTAGTCAGCGAATGAAGAGTTTTTCTTCATTAGGCTAGTTTTTGATAAAACTACTTTTGTTCAGGATTTAATTTTGATTTATGCATATGATAATTGGATTGTTATGTGGAAGTGAAGTTGTAAGTGCGTTATATTAGAGAGATATTCACTCAAAAAAGGAAATTGTCATCTTTCACTCTCATAACTTTTAAAACCTGTTACATTTGTTTCATGTGGAACTTGTGTGAAATGTGCTTTTTGTCCATACAGTAAAGGTTAATGGGGTCCAGTGTTGTTATGGACCCTATTGACTTTCACTGTATGAGCAAAAGAAGAAAAAAAGTCAAAATGGGAGAAAAATATGGATATTTTCCAAATGTGTCATATGCACAGTTTGGTCTACAGTGATTAATTTGTCAACATTCACATTGTATATGAACATATTTAAGTGTGTATGTGAATGAGAAACAGCTTTCCGTTTCTACACTCTTAAAAGCTAAGGTCCTAATTGGAGGTTTTTACAGTAATGCAATAGGAGAACCGTTATTGGGGTTCCCCAAAGAAACTTAAGATTTTTTCTTAGTTTGAAGAACTTTTTTTTTAATCTAAAGACCCTTTTACCACTATAACGGCCCTTTTGGATGTTAAAGCTTCTTCATGGAACCTTTATTTTTAAGAGTGTATTATTCCAGGAAGTCAACATAAACAGGAACAATGGCTAGATATGTGCGGTCGGATGAGGAGAGCACAGCTAGGAAAGAAGTATTAGCTCCCTATCCTTCCAACACCATCTTATTTTCCTCTCCCTCAATTTTGCACTCTCTCTTTCCCTCCAGTCCCTCTCTACTTCTCTTAGATGCGCACAACCACACTATATTCTACAAGAAATAATTGCTTTTGTCTGAAAGTAGTACTGGAGGGAGGGGCCCGAGCGGCCCGTTACCTCAGCACGTCGAGGGGGTACGCGAGGGACAACCGGTCACTTCTTTTCATCTCTTTCACTTGACCTGCGGATGTCATCTGTCAATAGTGAGATGCAAGAGAAGGACAGGGACAATGAAGCACATCCTTCTATTTAACAAAATAAGGAGGAAATGCATTTTGTTGCAGGCGGAAAGACCCCCCCCAAAAATGAACACAAGCAACAACAACGACAGAAATAATCAAACTATTTTTATTACTATTATAAAATGGCACTCTCATCATTATTTGTGGCTGCATAAAAGTAGAATCCAAAATGAATGATTTGTATTTGCAACATCTGTTTGCATCTCGGTCATATCCAAGACTTCTGAGCCTGAGCTCAGAGAGTTTTGCTGCCTAGTGGAATTGATTTACTCCTATCGATTGGAGTGTTTAGCGTATAGATTTTTCTATTTAAAAATCTATATTGACAATAATCTTGTGTGTAAGTGTGCTGCAGCATGGTTTGTAATTGACAGGGCGTGATGAATTGGCAGTAGGAGAGAGGAGCAGCGGCGCTCGATGATTAAGGCCCCCGGGAGGTTTTGCTAGCACGACGAGATTTCCGAGCACAGCGTTTCCCAACCCTGTTCTTGGAGGGCCCCCCAATTGTACACATTTTGGATGTCTCCCTCATCTGACACACCCATTTCAGATCTTTCAGTATTATACTGATCAGCTGATGGGTACAATCAGGTGTTTGATTTGGGAGACATCCTGAATGTGTCCTGTTGGGCTGCTCCAGGAACGGAATTGGGAAATGTTGTCTAGCACACAGACTACTTGTGCTGGCTTCTGCTGTTGTTCTGCACATCATATTGATAGACAATGTTTATTGACAAATACAAATATAACAGTGTTTCAGTATTATGCTGATGAGAATGATCAGGTGCTTGATTTGAAGACATCCTGAATATGTTATTTTGGGAGCCCGAACAGTGTTGGGAAACTATGTCGAGCACACCGGCTCTCTTGAGATCAACCCGTTTTGTTTCTGCTGTTGTTCTGCACATCATATTGGTAAACAATGTTTATTGACAAACAAAAACGTAACAGCCTGTGTGACGTCTTAAGAGATTCTCAGGTGTGTCCAAGAACATGTACTTTTGCATATTTTAATATTATTCAAAATGTTGGTTGATGTCCAATTATGTAAGTAATGAGCAGATTAAGCCAACATTACAGTTTCTAGAACAGCTCACATATGGTTTCATTAATCAGACTGCTGGGACACGTGAACACCTCATTTGGAATAAACAAAAAGTCCAAACAAAAGGATAAAAGTTAGATAAATCTAGGTAATATTAAATAAATTGAAGAAACATGTTTTTCAGTTTTTACCTTCTATCAAGGCATAATGACTGAAAGAAAAAAAAACAGCATGGCCAATATTTGCAATTGATTGTGCACTTGTTAATTAAGCACATGAATGTAGTTAATGAGTTAACTAAAATGATAGTCCCAAATATGATATGAGGAAGGTATTGAAAATAAAAATAAAAAATGCCAGTTTTTTTTTGTCTATACAATTAAAGTCAACAGGATGCAGTGATGAATGAACAAAGGACAAAGAAATGCATAAATGTTTGGAATGTAATGTACATGATTATGACAACATTTTTAGAGATGTTGTCAAATGACTATGCAGTGTAATAAATGGCAAGAGTGAGTTTTTCAAAAAGACGTGCATATGACAAAATATTACCAGCAAATCTGAAAATGTTCTGCATGTAAACATGGTCACTTGAGGGAGTGCCTTTCATTTTTGTATTAAGTATGAAAAAAGCTAGTTTTACTCGTTATATTAAAGAGTTTCGTGTTGTTTATACCATTATAATCTACATTAGATGAATAATCTACATTAGTGTTGTTGGAAAGAGATGTTCCTAGTTGACTGGAATGAGCTATTGGGGTTCCCAAATAACGGGAACAGGCAGACAGACCAAAACACGCAGGCGGATGGACGGAAATATAGGCAAGTGATCTTAAAAACCAGCGACGTAACGAACTCTTTTCCCCTTGATGTTTTCGTGCTTTATTTATTTGTTTGCCTTGTTTAGTCATGTATCGATTGATTGCGTTTTAATTACTGGCGTGTGACAAGGTTCGTGGGAGGAGGGGCGAATCCGGCGAACACGTTGAGTTGCGTTATTTTTCTATAGATTTTTAATTTAAATTAGCAAAAATAAGCAGACGGTTTTAACCACGTTTAGTGACTTTGTGTAAATGAATGTGTAGCCTGTAGCTGCTAGAACAAGGAAGAGAGCTATAGAAGAGCTAGACCAAATAAATTCACCAAAAAATGCACCACATATACAAGTAATAACAATATCCGCTGTCTTTTATACGTTATATAGTCAGGGTATGACATATTTTTTTCTTTATTAGAACAAATGCAGAACCGTTAGTTTATTTCACAAGCATATAACCAAAGTTAAAGCGACTGCGACCACGGGGAGAAGCAGCAGGCCAGCTGAACATAAAGTAGTCAGTGCCGACAAGGACAGAAACACTTCAGTTTACCACGAGAGATAGCTATGCATTTACAGACGTTCGCAAACAGAGTAAATATATGCCTTTGAGTGACAGATAGCCTACATATGTTCGGCAAGCTGATTGAACAGTTATACCAAATACTGTAGCTGAATACCAAAACGAATAGACAAACGTGAAAGTACTAGTAATATAACCCACGTTTGTCTTGTTTTAATCCGTCTATCCGCCTGTGTGCGCGCGTCTGCGTATCTATGCATGTAGATCAAAAGTCAACTACAAGCGAAAAAGGAAAGGGTTTTTTTTTTTATTTTTTTATGTAACTGGAAAACGTACGTGTAAACGCAATTTTTATGAATAACCAGTATTGTGTCAAAAACGCCTGGATCACGGAACCAAAGTGAGAAAAAGCATATATTGCCACAACTGCTAAAATTGTAAAGAAAAATCAACATCAAAAAGAACATCTGATAAGAACCAGACAAGAAGACGGATCATGTTTGTTCCTTTGCCGGTGCCGTTTGTCTTGCCGAGAACTGCCTCTGATCTCCAAGCCTGGCGCCTCAAGTCGCCACTGGCTCTGCGCTCTCACTCCGGTAAGGCTTTCTTCCAGAGCAACCACCCTTTCTTTCTTCTAATACCGAATCCCGTTACCGCGCTCAGTGGCCTAATCCCCGTATCCATAATGTGAATGAAACATCCTCATTTGGCGTTTTCTGTTTGTGTCGCGCGCGCTTGCCGCTCCTTCCGACATTCCAGTTTAGTCCAACCGACGCGAGTCAGGTTTGTCTACAGCAAAACTAGCACTGAGCTTTCGCGCCTCAAAATGCAGCTCAGGTCGGGTTTGTTTTGTTAATGTGTTTCCTAAATATATTCCCGTCTCGTTGGGCTTGGGTTCTTCAGGGCCCCGCATCCGTCCGTCTCGTCCTCTCGCCTCTGCCTCTGCCTCTGCCTCAGTCTCCCCCGAACTAAACTCGCGGTGAGCTGGGAATATTCATGCCAACTTATCGATCTCCGCAGGATCGATTCCGGGGCCGGCGGATCGAGGGGAGAGAGGAGAGAGTCAGAGCAGCTACAGAGAACAGAAATGAGCATTTATGCTATTTAAACATCTTATGTTTGGCTCACAAATACAGATGTAGCGTGATGGTCAGGTAGATAGTTGCACGTGTGATCAGCTATAAGCGTTTTGAATAGACGATCACATACATGTGTATAATGTGGTTTGCACCTAGTCTTTTGCAGTAAGAGACAGCAAATGGCAAACGGACGACTGTTTATTTTATTGTTTTCATTGCGGGAACTTGCCGGTTGTTCGGTAGCCACAAAAAGATGAAAACACAAGGAAGCGGGGATGGAGAAGGTGGGCGGGTGTGGAGTAGGAGGAGATGGGTGTAGTCTGAATTGAGGAGGCATAACTGCATAAGCAAGCTGCTCCTATGTTTACTGGGTTTGTGACGGTCTGAGAATACAATGAAAGTGTTTAGTAATTTTATACAGAAATTGTTTTCTGTATAATTTATGTAGTGTTTATTTTGTATTATTTTATATAAAGCTTATATGGGTTGTATATGGGGAAAATGTACATTTAATTTAATGTAAAATGTTATGCTTTAAGCATATTGTAAACATCATTTTGATAATTGTTTTATTGTTATTATTTATGCTCTTGTAATAAGCGCATTAACTGAGGGATTTGTGCTAAAAATATTTGGAATAGGATACAGTTTCTCTTCTAAATTAATTTGAATTTCAGCCTAAAATCAAAAAAAGAAAAAGACAAGACAACTTTTTTTAGACAAGTTATTTGTCTGCATACGGGAACTTTTGCCTATATTATGGTATAAAAAACAAGATGGTGCTTAATAGGTCTTCAGGAGTTACTTTTGTCCATTTTTATGCATTCAGAAAGTGTTGTAAAGTGGCAATTGAAAGTGTTGTGCCTTATTTTTATCCAGACTTTATTGGAAACTTATCTTACGGGATTTGTTCTCTAGCTGTAGGATTTTACCACTTCATAATTTGCCTAATTCAGAGTCTTACAGGTTTTCATGGGCTTTGGGACTGAATAATGATGCAGAATGGAAAAGGGGAAGGATAATGAGCCTCTTCCCCTCAGAGATTAACAGGGCCAAGGGAGAGGAGGAGGAGTTTCATGCCCCTTTTGCTGAAAAATAGCAAGTGTCAAAAGAAGATAAAAAAGAGGGCAGAAAAAAGAAAAAGCTGTGGACCACTAAGGGAAAGTAGGTGCAGATGACAGTGAAAAATGGGAACGAGTATGGAAAACCGAGTTTGAGCAGGAGAGGTGATCTTGAGCTCTAGGCACAGCTTGTATGGATGCAGTCGTCTAGCTCATTAAGTATGAATGATAAGCAAGGCTGTAAACTTTGTTGTTTAGATATACATACTCGACACTTATTTCACACAGAAGTGGGTGATTGGTATATGAAAAAATTATTTGATTAACAATTTCACAAAACTTAAAATATTTTTGACTAAGCCTTAGACAATCTTTTGTTTATGTAAGTTGTTCTTCACAGTCAGCTAAACCTCAGCTAAATCTGTCCTTCATTTTATGCTGTCAAATACCATTATGGCCAGCAGAAATATGCATATCTCATCGTAGCCTCTTAATCACCATTAGAGAGAGCGGAACCTATTTAACTCTTATCCAGTTACTAATATATGCAGCTATTACACCCTATTCCCATTAGATAGCGGATATAGACATGGACAGAGGCAGAGATAGAGATAATCAAGACCTATTCTTTTAAGTGGTCTCGGGAATTATTGCCATTAACGGCTCCATTAAATACATACATTTTATGTGTGTTACAGAAACAGGCAGGTCCTGGAGGATGAAAGAATATTGACTGAGAGAAAAAAGAGTGTACATTAAGCAACATTCATGCTTTGCATGACATATGAACCAAAGAAAATCTGAATTCTTTGGTAAAATTTTAAAGTAAAATTACTTTAAAAGTACTGAAAGATAATTGTCTCATTGTCATAATGACAGGTGACAGTGTCAGAAATGGAATCCATATATTTCTGTAGCTATTTATTTATTTTTGGTATCTAAAAGTATTTGTGAGAGGGAATGTAAGAGAAAGTGTTTTTATAGATCATGGCAAGTCCTATAGTGTTAAGATGATTGCTGATGACAAAATGTCAGCTTGGGTTTGGTAGTAACATAATGGGGAATCAATATAAGGAAGATGTCGATACAGAATGTTCTACTGCATTTCACTGTATCTCTCACACATTCTCTTGCACTCTCTTTTGCTCTGACTGATATGCCATGTCATCATGATGTTCGTTTAGGGCAGTACTCCCACAGGTCTTTTAGTTGTACTGTTAGTTTCAGCAGAGCAGATATGTGTTTGCATCTGTGTGGGTTTACCTTCTGTAGTGTATTAACACTGACGGCACCCCTCATTAGCACTGCTGGAAAATGCGGCTTTTCACTCTGTAAGACATTCCCTAGAGTTCTTTCCTCCCAGTGGCCATTACAAGCACACACACACATTGTGTCTCTACACAACCAGAAAGACATTACACATCTTGAGTCTGGTCTGCAAACTGATAAGGAGATTTTAGACTGAACTCTCTGTCATATTTAAAGCTTAAAGAGACTTACAAGTGCTTGCAAGGTATCACTCTGTTGATATTCTTCAAATATTAAAAAAAAAAGGTCTAGAGACACATTTTGTAAAAGTTAAACTTTTATATTGAGTGCCACATTTAGAATGCTGTGTCATGCGTGGGACACTGCAAAGGACATAAAACCTCAGAGCAATGGTCAAACATGGGCATCTAGCCCATGTTTACATAGAAAAACAATGGAAAACAGCACAGTGGACCGCAGAAGCGCATTTTGGATGAACGGCCTCTTACACCAGTGTTTCCCTGTTCCTGGAGGCACACCAACAGTACACATTTTGGATGTCTCTGTTATTAATCCGTGTATCATTCGATCATTCGTTTTTTTTATTTAATATTGAAAGTAGAAAAATTAGAAAATGGCTCCTTTTTTGTTTTTTGGTTTTTTTTCCAAAAATTGAAAAACGAGAATTCAGCTTAAATTTTATTTTTTCGCTCAGGGGTAGAAAAATTAATAAACAGCTTGAATATTTGATTTCTACATGTGGGCGGGAATTAAACGCCCCTTTCTGCTGATTGGTCAGCCGAAGATCAAACCGTGCCGTCATCAGGGCTGCGTTCAGCCCTGACAAAAACGGTGCAAAATGTTTTTTAAACAGAAACGGTGATGCGTTGAACACCCTGTTCTGATGACGCAAGAGTTGCAACTATGGCAGCTGAGAAGGCCATTCTTTGTGTTCTTTTTGAAGAATTTTCGGAGCCTGATGAAATCGGTATACATACATGTTTAATACTGAAAAATACGCTCGATGGTACATTCACTGCCCTTGCCCTCCAGAATAAAAGAGAACATCCCAATATACATGTTGCTGCTGATTGGGCTGACATGTTTGACACACCCACCAAACAAGAGAAAACGCATTTCAAACCCCGTTGCACACCGTTGCACACCGTTTCAAGGAAACATGTTGTTCAAACCGGAAACCGTAGCAAAACGGTGCACACCGGTTTGAGCTTGAACTTGCCCCTTGAATAGTCCTCCACTGCAGCAGTTGTATGGATTAATTACCCATTGCAACTACATTTCATATTTTTCTAATCAAACAGACTAATGAATAGCTCGACACAACTCGTGCCGGGGCAGAGGGCTTACTTCTGTTTAGACCAGTGGTTCTTAATGTGATAGGGGTTCCTCGAAATAATTTGCTATAGCCTAAAGTATTTCCAGACTGTAAAGTCGCTTTTTTTATCATGATACATAGGCCTACTGTGATTTATTCCAAAGTGCATTTAACGTCAAATAATCTAAATGAAGCCTTTTAAAAGAC